GTACCGTGATGATTCAATATTTTGGGGAAGGCGTTTATCTTTCTTTTTTAGATCATAACGGAATGATTCAACCAAAGAATTCATAATATGGAGCTGCTCTTTGTTCGAAACTGAATTAGAAACGATTTTTCCATGAGTTTGGATGAAACTTGATATTTCTGGCCCAATTGCCAACGGGGACTTCTCACTTGAAATTCTTGACAATTTTTTCAATAGTGATCTAGATGATTTGAGACTGACCATAGTGTGTTATAATCACCAATAAACCACTGGTAGAAAGTTGAGAATGTGTCAAAAGATAAAGACAATTAAGTACCAAATATAATTTAGCAGAACATGCTGCACTAACCGATGAGCTCGCGAATTTCTCGGAAGCAGGGTTACGTTTTTAAATTTTTAATTTTGTTTTTATAGTAAACTACATAACTAGTAAATTGTAATTATTGGATTGATATTGGTATATTTTGAAAGTCCAAATTCAAATCACTTCTTATCAATATGCGTAATTTGGTTTGTCTGAATAGAGGTCGAATCCAACCGACCTCATCAACAGCACCGGATCTACCTATTAAAGATTCAGTTTTCGATCCAGTTAATGATTCTTTAACAATTATATTAGGACCTGGAGATTTTGGTATTTATGAAATTCAACAATTTACTAGAGATGGTAAAGTTAAAACTTTAGCAAGTTTCCCAAGTCAAGAGGAACTAATATCTTTTGCACATTTTGCTGATTCAAATCAATTAGTTTGTATTTTTGCTAATGGTGATATTATTACTGCAACTTATGATTCTTTTAATGAAGAAATCGATCCAGATCAAACTATTGTGGAAATTGTTGGTAGTATTGATAATGGATTACAAGCTGCTTCATGGTCATCTGATGAAGAAACATTGGTACTTGTTACAAATGAAAAAACTATTATCCTTTTGAGTAGATTATTTGAACCAATTGCTGAATCCACATTACAAGAATCAGATTCAAATCTTTCAAATCATGTTGATGTTGGTTGGGGTTCCAAAGAAACTCAATTTAAAGGTAAAGGTGCTAAACAATTAGAAAGAGATTTGATCAAAAATTTGGATTTAGAAAGAGATACAAATAAAAGAGATCCAACTATGCCTTTGTATGTTGATAATGGTGATTTATCAACATTTGATAACCATTTAGCTTCAATTACATGGAGATCTGATTGTGAATTCTTCGCTGTTTCCACAATTGATAATATTAATAATACTGATAGAAGAATGATTCGTGTTTTTTCAAGAGAAGGTGTATTGGAAAATGTTTCTGAACCTGTTGATTTCTTGGAAAATCAATTATCTTGGGGAAATTTAATTTCTTCAATTCAAAGAAGAACTAATGTCCCTGAAGAAGATCAATCTTTGGATTTAGTGTTTTTTGAAAAAAATGGTTTAAGACATTTAGAATTTGATACAAGATTATCTATAAATACTAAAATTGATGATATTTTATGGAATTCAACAAATGAAGCTTTAGCTATAAAATCACAAAATAAAATTTATTTATGGACTACAAAAAATTATCATTGGTATTTAAAACAAGAAATTAATTCAGTTGAAGATATAAATTTCATGAAATGGCACCCAGAGAAGAACTTGAGATTATTAATTGGTACAAACTCCAAGATTGAAATTATTGATTTTGCCTATAAGACAACAATTGGTCCATCAGTTGTTCCATTAGACGTGGGGATGAATATTGTTGTTGATGGTTCCACTGTTAATTTAACTCCATTATCAATAGCTAACGTTCCTCCACCAATCTCATATCGTGATTTTGATGTTGATGGTAATGTATTAGATGTTGCAGTTAGTAAATCAAATGAAATTTTTGCAGCATTAACTAATGAATCCATATCATTTGCTAATGTTGATTTAGATTCAATGAAATCTGGGAAACATCCACAAATTATTTCCTCAATGAAAAAATCAGAATTTGCAACTTCTGATGAACATTTAAGACAAGTTGCTTTTACAAATGATGATATTGTTGGTGTATTATTAGATAGTGAAGCTGGTATTTCCAGAATTATATTGATTGATGTTTCTGATTTAAATGATCCTTATGTTAAATCTAGTATTGATAGTTCATTGAAAATCGTTTTAATGAAATCACAAGCTGATTGGTCAAGTATTACTTATGAAACTGTTGATGGTTCAATTAATAGAATTTTAAAAACTTTCAATCCAGAAATTGAAGATGATGATTTCAATTCTGTTCAAGTGGCAAAATTCCCACAATTATGTAATGATTATGAATTAGCTGTGATACAAATTGATTATGGACAAATTGAAGATGAATATGAAATTGAAAATGAATGGAGTAAACCAAATGTGGATTCAACTCCTTTAGTTGCATTTGGTATTAGTTCAAATGGTAAATTATTTGCAAATGAAGTTCAATTAACAAGTGCAGTTACATCATTGAAAATCACTGAAGGTCATTTAATATTTACAACTGCTCAACATGTTTTAAGATTTGTTCATTTAAATACCACTGAATTTAAACCATTAATTGAATCAACTGATGCTACAAGTGATGAAAGAGTTCGTCAAATTGAAAGAGGTTCATTATTAGCTAATGTTATCCCATCTAAATCTGCTGTTGTACTACAAGCTCCAAGAGGTAATTTAGAAACTATTAATCCAAGAATTATGGTTTTACAAGGTGTTAGAAAAGATATCAAGAATAGAAATTATAAGAATGCATTTATTACATGTCGTACTCATAGAATTGATTTAGATTTATTACATGATTATGATCCTGAATTATTTATACAAAACATTGAATTATTTGTTAAACAAATTGAAAGAATTGATTATTTGGATCTTTTCGTTTCTTGTTTACACGAAGATGATGTTGCAAAGACTAAATATCAAGAAACTTATTCAGATGAAGAAATTGATCAAAAAGTTATTGCTAATCATCAATTACAACAACAACAAGAACAAAATGGTAATAATGATAATTATCAAAGAAGAAGATGGGTTGATCCAAAAGATTCCAAAATTAATAAAATTTGTGAAGCTATTTTAGCTGTATTGTTGACTCCACCATATAAGGAAAAATATTTACAAACAATTATTACAGCTTATGCTTGTGAAAAACCAGCTAACTTAACTGATGCATTATCATTAATTAGTTCATTCACTAATAAAGAAGATGCTGAAAAATCTGTTGTTCACTTATGTTTCTTACAAGATGTTAATGTCTTGTATAATACAGCTTTGGGTCTTTATGATATTAAATTAACTTTAGCAATTGCTCAACATTCTCAAAAAGATCCAAAAGAATATTTACCATTCTTACAAAATTTACATTCACAAACTGAATTACGTCGTAAATTTTTAATTGATACTCATTTGAAGAAATTTGAAAAAGCTATTGTTCATTTATCAGAAATCATCAAAGATGATGAAGAAATTAGTGAAGAATTTAAAAATTATGTTGTTGAACATGAATTATACAAAGTTGCATTGGGTATTTATAGATATGAACATCAAAAACAAAATTCAATCTTAGATTTATATGCTAAAAACTTATATTCAAAACAAGAATACGTTGAAGCTGGTATTACTTATGAATTATTAGGTAACTTAGAAGATGCGTTAGAAGCTTATATTTTGGGTCAAAAATGGAGAGAAGCCTTAGCAATTACAGAAAGAGAAGAATTTAAAGATCAAATGATTGAAACTGCTGAAAGATTAATTGGTAGTTTAACAGAAGCTCATAAATATTCAGATGCTGCTACAATTGAATTCAAATTCTTGGGTCATTTAGAAGAAGCTATTAGATTATATTGTAAAGAATATTTCTATGAAGAAGCTATATTACTTGCTCAAAAGGAGAAAAAACCAGAATTTATCGAAGACATTGTTGATTCATCATTAGGTGATGGATTTGGTACAATTGCTGAATTGATTGCTGATTGTAAAGGTCAATTAACTTCTCAATTAAGACGTCTAAGAGAATTGAGAACCAAGAAGGAAGAAGATCCATATGCATTCTTTGGTCAAATTGAAGATTCAGACGCAGCTGATAATGTTTCTGTTGCACCTTCTGAAACCTCAACTAAAGAATCTTTCTTTACAAGATATACAGGTAAAACTGGTGGTACTGCTAAAACAGGTGCATCAAGAAGAACTGCTAAAAATAAGAGAAGAGAAGAACGTAAACGTGCTCGTGGTAAGAAAAATACAATTTATGAAGAAGAATATTTGGTTAAATCTATTGGTAGATTAATTGAGAGATTGGATCAAACTAAACCTGAAGCTATTAGATTAATTGAAGGTTTAATTAGAAGAGGTAAAAGGGAACAAGCTTATCAAGTTCAAAAAACATTTGTTGATTTAATTGAAGAATTAAAGGAAAACATTGTGGAAATTTATAATATTAGTGAAAAAGATCGTGAAAGAATTGATGAAAATGGTGAAGTTTATTATATTCCTGAAATTCCAGTTCCAGAGATTAAAGATTTCCCAAAGAAGGCAACATTAGATTATTGATTGTAATCAAACTAAATATATTTATTCCATTTCTTGTATAAAAAAAACGACAACAACATTGTATTATCTATTTAAAGTTTATGTAGCTGTAATATTAATCATACAAATGCTTTAACTCTACCATCATAATAACCTGATCTCAGCTTTTGTTCGTGATCTAACACAATATCTTTTAATCCATGAATTGCATTTTTAGTAGCATCTGTAACTGAACTTTTTTTAGCCTTCATATAAGCCATAGATTTTGATGGCAAATTATCAGCACGACCAATACCAGTATCTTCATGATATGTTCCATCTTTTAAAGTAATTTTGACAGTACATTCCATTTTAACAGAATGTGTTTCACCATTATCTTTAATCTCCACCACATATTCAGTTTCTTTAACATCAATAACTTCACTTGACCAACCATCATAACCAAAAGATTCATTAGCTAAACTTAAGAGACGATGAAGTGGCAATTCAATTTTGATATTTCTAAATTTTTTCCCTTGATATTTGGATAAAATGGTTTCCATTTTGGCTTGTAATGTACCAATCTTGGAAATGGACCAATTGGAAGCAGGTTTATCTTTGAAATCATCATCAAACACGAGATCTAGTATATCAATATTTGGGTTTATGATGAGACCATCTCCAGAGTTCATTTTGCGACTAAAATTGAGTGGGAAAAAGAGCAACACAAAGCATAACCTCCCAAGAGCACAAGAACCCGTCTTAACAAACTTTCAATACCAGTCTTCAACCACAAGACCACTTAAATCTGAAGTTAAATCACTATTGCAAAATTGATGATTTTGTTTTGTTTTTATATGAGATCCATTTTTGGTAAGCACAGCACTTTGGAAAAATCCGCGAAAGTTGTTGTTGTTGACATTTTGAAAGTACAACAGACACCAAAAGAATAAGAAAGCATTGGGAGGAACAAGTTTAGTAAGATTGGTTCGTCTTTTATACTCGTGAAAGGTTATTAAATTCAGACCTGTGATCATACGCTACGTATAGTCGCTTTACAAGGAAAAAAATCCAGTAAAATTAGGGTTAGATCAAGTTGGAAATGGAGCTTATATCAGGTTTGATCAACACTCCAAAGTCTCAATCGGCTGAAGACATCATACCAACACTTTGTGACAGATTGAACCATGCATCGCTAGCTAGTGATAAAAGGGCTGCTATCTTGACCTTAAAAGGGTTCAGTCGTGAATATAGAGAATCGGTCATCGCCCATGGGTTACGTGGTTTGATTAGTACATTGAAAAGTTTCACTATAGATACAGAAATTGTTAAAGCATGTCTTGAAACATTGTTAATCTTATTTATCAGGGGTGAAGGTGATGATGACAAGACAAGAAATTGGATTTCTCAACAATCAAGAGTTCAAAATGGGAAATATCCTTCTCCATTATTAATGAAGGAAGAATCTAATACCATTGATCAATTTTCTTTGTGGATTGCAGATGAATTCATTCAAGATGTCTCAAATGTTGGACTGATCTTATCATTGTTGGAAAACACTGATTTCTACGTGAGAATGTACACACTACAATTCCTTGAAGCATTGGTATCAATGAGAGCATCAAGAGCTAAAGAAGCAATATTGAATTCACCTTTAGGTATTTCATCTTTAATTTCAGTACTTGAAGATTCTCATGATCCAGTAAGGAATGAAGGTGTCTTATTATTAATGGCCATTGCAAATGATAATTTCAATATCCAAAAATTAATTGCTTTTGAAAATACATTTGATAAATTATTTGAAATTATCCATGAAGAAGGTGATATACGTGGTAGTATTGTTGTTCAAGATTGTTTATCATTAGTTGCAAATCTTTTAAAATATAACGTTTCAAATCAAAAATTATTCTTGGAAACAAATTGTCTTCCAAAACTTGCATATTTAATTGGTGAACCACTTTCAGGTGAAGAAATCATATGGAATGATCAAAGATTACAAAATGTTATTATCGCATTAGATATTGTTAGACTTTTCGTTATGGAAGAAAATGAATCCACTGTAAGAAATCAAGAAATTTTAGCAAATGCTGATATTTTTATTCATGTATTAAGATTATCATTTTCAGAATCAGCTCCAAATGCCTTAAGATCAACTGCATTAATTACTACAGCTGATTTAATCCAAGGAAATCCTGCATTACAATATCAATTTAGTTCTATAGATGTTCCATATATTGATCCAAGTTTACCCAAACAATTACAGAAACATGATGGTGATATCCCAGTTGTTATCGCTTTGTTGAATTGGTGTTTATTTGTTAATTCTGTTCATTTATTTGATATTAGGGTTGCTGCTGCATATTTATTAGAAGCTTATTTCAAAGATAATAAAGATGCTAAACTTGATTTCATTCAAAGTCAAATCACAGCTTACAAGGCCAAAGACGAGGAGGTACCATCCACTTCTAATTCTACAGAAACTAATACCGATGAAGCTCCAAAAGAACAATCGCCTACTGAAAATGGTAATGGCCAAGCCAATGGTCAAGTCAATGGTGATATATCACAAGAAGTTAAAGCCCCTAAATCAAAATTGAAAGCACCACCAATTGGTAACTTATTTAAAGCTATCTTAGAATATGATCCAGAAATCAAATTGAATCCATACAAAATTTGGTTTTCATCTGTAATTCTTCTACATTTGTTTGAAGGTGAGGATGAAATTAGAAAAGAAGTTCAAAAAATTACTACAGGGGATGAAGAAGAAGGTGAAGAAGTTTTGACTGCTATTCAAGCAATCTCAGATGTCTTAGTAACAGCAATTGGCTCACAAGATCCAAGAATCTCTACTGGGTATTTAATGCTCTTGATTGTCTGGTTATATGAAGACTTTGACGCTGTTGATGATTTCTTGAGTGAACAATCTACAGTTAAATCATTATTATCATATTTGGCTTCTGCCACAGCTGAAAGTGATGTTGTTCAAGGATTATGTGCAACTCTTATGGGTGTGGCCTTTGAATTCTCAAGAAGAGATTCCCCAATCAATAGAGTAGAACTCCATTCATTAATTGTGAAAATGATTGGTAAAGATGTTTATACTTTGAAAATTAGACAGTTGAAAGAACATCCGTTGTTTGCTGATTTTGCCGAGGAAACAATATTCAACCCTAAAAGAGATGATTCAGGTTTACCAGAAGTATTTTTTGATCCTATTTTAGTTTATTTGATTAAAGAGAATTTTAATAGAATCAAAAACACATTGAATAAAGATCCTAATTTAGAATCAAATGGAAGAATTTCATATGAAAAATTTGAAGAACTTCAAACTACATATCTTGACTTGAAAAAAACACACGGTGATTTAGAAGAAAGTTCTGAAAAGTTGAAAACTGAGTTGACAGATTCATTAAATAGTGCTAAAGTTGAACTAGAAAAATCAACAAACTCTTACGAGTCTAGCCAAAGAGAATTGGAAGAATTAACTTCAAGATATGATTCAGCTAGTAAAGAATTGGAGCTAATTAAGTCACAACTATCTTCACTAGAGAAACAACATCAAGACTTAACTAATACTTCAAGTCAGCAGAGTAAGAGTATTCAAAGTTCATCTGATAAATTAGCTTCAAGAGAATCTGAAATTACCAAGTTAAAGCAACAATTAGAGCAAACAACATCTGATAAACAGAAAGCTGATGGTGATATCAACAAAATGAGCAGAGAATTATTTTTATTATCCAAACAAAAAGATGAAGTTGAAAAGAAAGTCAAAGCTTTAGAGAAATCGTTAGAGAATGCTGGTAAACAAGAAAAGAAATTACAATCAACTTCAAGTCAACAATCAGAAGAAATAAAGTCCTTGAAATCACAAGTTGCAAATTTGACTACTCAAATCACTAATTCTGCAAATCAAAAATCTCAAGTTGAAAAACAGTTACAAGATGCTAAAGCACAACATGGTCAGAGTTCTTCTTTAGTAAACCAATTATCAGAAAAACTTAGAGGTCTTGCTAATTCCTACAATGAGATCAATACTGCAAAAGAAGCATTAGAAGGTCAAATTGCCACTTTACAACGCTCTTCAGAATCTGAAACGGCCACTTTAAAATCACAGATTGAAGAGTTAACTGTATCGAAGGGATCTTTGGAAGGTCAACTTTCAAAATTCAAGACCGAGAATGATCAATTTCAAAAATCCATGGATAAGGAGAAAAAAAGTTTGGAAGATACCATTAAGAACTTAGAAAGTGAAAATGAAAAGTTTAAGAGTGAAGCTTCTTACATTAAAGCCGAACTTGATAAAGTCAAAGAAGAAGTTACTGAATTAAAATCAAAATTGGAGAAGGCCAACCAAGAAGTCGAAGTATCTCGCAAGACACTAGAAGAGAAAGAATCACAACATTCAAAGGCATTATCACTCAAAACCAAGGATCACGATAGTATAAAGTCAACATTAGAAAAGGAATTATCTGAATTACGTGACAATCATACTAAAGAATCATCAAACTTTTCGGAGAAATTAGCAAGTTTGGAAATTCTGAAAAAATCATTAGAAGATGAAGTTAAAAATCATAAAACTTCACACTCAAATCTCGAGTCAGAATTCAATAGTAAGAAAGATGAGCTTGATAAAGCTCAGAATGAACTAGTAAAGTTCAAAACCGAAAAGAGTGATTTAGATGCGCAAATATTGAAACATGCTAATGAATTAGAAAGTGTCAAGAAAGCTCATGAAGATGAAAAGGTTAAATCCGGTAATAAACTTGAAGAATTAATATCTAGTAAACAAGCATTAGAAGTTGAACTTGATGATTTAGCTGTTGAATATGAATCGAAGGAGCTAGAGTTTAAGAAAGAGATCACATCACTAAAAGAAAAGGTGGGATCTTTAGAAGAAGAAAAGAAATCTTTAGAATCCACTCTTGAAATGATATCGCAGAACATGGAAGATAAGGCTCATGAGTATGAAAGCTTGAAAAAGGAATCAAAAAAGAAAGAGACAGAGTTTGCAGAGCTTCAAAAAACATCAACAGCCAACAATGTGAAGAACACTGAACTTACAGAATCATTAGAGAAACTCAAAGAAGAACTTTCAAAAGTACAAGAAAATTATACTGAGGCAAAAGAATCATTAGCAACCTCAAGTAAGGAACTAGATGAGAAACAGACCCGTATTAAGTCTTTGGAAAAGAAATCCAACCAACAAAAAGAAAAATATGATGATCGTATCAAGTCTCTGGAATCTGATCTGAAATCTTACAAGGAAGACCTTGAGTCTAAGAATCAAGAATTTGAAAAAGAACGTGCTATGTTGAGTGATGATTCAAATGATACCATAAAAGGTTATATTGAGAAAGTGTCTAAACTTGAAGAAAAAATCAAAGAATCCGAATCTCAATCTTCAACCAAGACGAAATCACTAAATGATAAAAATACTAAATTAGAAGACACTATTAGTGAACTTGAATCTAAAATATCATCATTAACATCTGAAAGTACCACAAAGGAAGAGAAGCTTGGAAAACTTCGAACATCTGTTAAAGAATTGACAACTACCAAATCAAAACTTGATCAAGAGATCCAACAATTAAAGAAAGAAAACTCAGTAATAGTTGATTTGAATGCAAAGATCACCAAACTTGAAGAAACTGTCACTGAAAAAGAGAACCTGCTAAAGGCAAATAAGGACAAATTAATGGACTCTGACCAAAAAATTGAAGCTAGTGAAAAGAAGATTCTCGATACAGTGGAACAGTTAGAAAGTACCAAAGCAGAATTCTCCAAGTATAAAAATGATTCGACTAAAACTTCATCTAAAGCACAAGATTCACAAAAGAAACTTGAAAAAGAAATTGAAGAGCTTCGCTCATTTAAAGAGGAGGCAACTGATTTGAAGAGTGACATTAAGAAGCTTGAACAGCAAGTCACAAAAGACAAAGAGACCAATGACGCTTTAAAGAGTGAAATCGAAACCTTGAAGAAATCTTTTGCTGATTCATCGGATGTTATTGAAGCCACCAAGAAAGAGTATCAATCCAAGCTAGAGGAGAAAGAGGTAGCTTCTTCAAAAGAAAAAGATGAGGCTGAAAAGTACAAACGAGAAAATGAAAAGATACATAAAGATTTAGCTAAAGAAAAGAAGGAAGCTGAAGAATTAAGAAAAGAAGCGGTGTCTTTGAAAGATAGTGCCGAGAAAGACAAAGCTCACATTGATTTATTAAGCAAAGAAAACCTTGAAATTGAAAAACTCAAGAAGGAACTTGAAGACTTGAAGAAAAATACAGTTCCAAAGTCAGAGTTAGATGACTTGGTATTAGTTCTTGATGAAATGGACGAATTAAAAAGAAAGTATAAAGCAAAGGCAAAAGAATTGGGAGGTGATGTATCCAGCGACGAAGAAGACGATGACGATGAAGACGATGACGAATAGATATATTGTAAATAAACAAACAATAAAAGTACATGATTTCAAAATATATTATCATCAGACACGTGTAATAGTTAAATATTCTAAAAGCACCTATATATAAAACAACTGAAACAAAATAAAAAAATAAATTTACAAAACTTAGCTTCTAGAAGCCCTTGGGTCCTTGATTCTATGAATACGAACATACTTTTCGTCTAATTCGGCAATTTGACCGATATCTTGTGGTGTAATAAATATAGTTTGAGAATTCTCTTTAGATAATTTATCAAGCATTAATCTCATACCAATCTTTCTGTTAACTTGATCCATGAAAACATCAAATTCATCTAGACCTTTTATACGAGAACGCATAGGTTTCCAAGTAGCTAATAACAAAGAAATTTGAGAAAATGACTTTTCACCCCCAGATAATGAATCAACATGTCTTGGTTTTTTATCATTCTTAGTACTAACATACATTGTAAGTTTTTTCTTGTCATAATCAAAATCTAAATTACCGCTGAAGTTTCTGAAAGCCAAAGAAGTTTTAAAGTCCAAATCAGCTTCAAAAAATGTCGCAGCTCTTGATTCCCTAAAAGCAACCAATCTATCATGTAATGAAGCTTCGTATAGTAATCTACCTTTAACAGCTTTATCAAATTGTGTTTTTGCTTCATAAAACTTCCTTCTTGCAGCTTCGTCTTCATTAATAATTTCTTCAGGTGATTTACCCAAATCTTCATTGGCTCTTTTAACCTGGTCTGCCACTTTTTGAATTTCGTACTGAACAGCTTCAATATCATGTAGATGTATTGAATCCGCTTCTTCTTTGGTACATGACTCTTCAGCTTGAAGTTCATTTTCTTCAATACTCTTCTCCCAAGCAGGTAAGTTCTCAGTCATATCTTGAGCTTCTTGAAGTCTTTTTTGTTTACTTTTCTCAAAATGTTGTATTTTGGTAATATTTAGTTGCTTTTCAGACTCGAATCCTTGAATCTTTTCCTTGATTTCATGTTCTTCCTTAGTGATCTCTCTCGTCTCTTGCTTTGTTTGTTGATAATCTTCCTGTTTTCCACGCAATTCAGCTTCAAGATTCTCAATTTCAGCTCTCAAATCGTTCATGGCAATTTTAGCAAGATCACGTTCACGAATAGTATGTTGTTTATCATCCATGAATGCTTCAAGTCTACCATTCTGTGCAGAATCATTAAGTTTAGTGGTAATTTGATATTTTTGAGAAGTAATTTTTTTCATTTCATTGTCAAGATTTCTTTTTTTAGTTCTTAAATAATTTTGTTGGTTTTGAAGATCAGCTTTAAGGTTGGATTTTTGAGTTTCTAATTCGTTCAATTCAGCATTTTCATCTTGATATCTTCTTTTGAAAACTCCAGCTTCATTGGATCTATCTTTTGGTTTCAATTTTGGAATATTGTTGTCAAAGTAAACAGGATCAACTCTAAAACCACCTAAAGCATTAATAGAAGACCTTTGACCAGAACCTCTGTCTGTAATGGAAAGAGACATTTTGACATTTCTGACTCTATTTTCAAGGAGTTGCTGAGCTTCTTGTCTGCTATTAGCAACTACCACACTTTCAACATGGACCATATCAATTAATGCATATTTCACTCTTTCATCTTTAAAATGTAAAAGATCTAAAACAGTGGTGTAGCCTTGAGGTGGCAGACCTGATTCATAATTGAACGCTTCTGCCTTTCTAATAACAATGTTTGACCTAGCATTGTGCCTTCTTAGAATTTGTTGAAGTTGTTTATGATCATTGAAATTTTCAACTAAAAATGTGGTCAAATTAGATGCAATGTGTGATTCAACTAATTGAGCCCATTTTTCGCACCCTGGTTTAATTTGTATCAATGTCCCTATAGGGCCAATCACAGGGCTTTGGAATCTGGCTTTTTTTATATCATTAACAACAGCTTTGATACTGAAATGATAAGCATCAAATTCATCAACTTTTGAACTCTCAAGTCTGCCGATATGTTGTTTGATTCTGATAATGGATTCTTTCTTCTCTTGTATTTGATGATCAAGCTCAGTATATTGCTCTTTGTTCGAACCTGATGTGGATTCCGATAATTCGTCATCCACTTGTTTCTTCTCTACCTTTAGTTGTTCTAATTTAGCTTCAAGATTATCATGTTGATTTTGCAACGCTTCTAATGAACCACCATTCTTTTGCTTGATTTTATCTTCCTCAATTGCGATATCACGATCAAGCTGAGCAATTGCATCATCATGAAGTTTAATGTTTTTTTGATTGTCTGAGAATTGGTATTGAATTTTCTCGATTTTCCTACCAACACCATCCATTATCCCCCTTTTTTCTGTCAAGACGGTCATTATCATCTGTCTTTTTTCCATGATTTGTTCTTTCTTGAACTGGAGGTCTTCTTTACTAACATCGGCATTTTGAACTTTAGATTCATAATCTTTGATATATCTATCCAATTGCTCGATAGTGGATTCAATTTCAGCTTGACTTTCACGAACTTCTGCAACAACTTCTTCGGCCTGTTTCGCCATCATCCAGAAATATTTACCATGTAAAACTCTTTGTCTATCACGTAAGCCTCTTGAAGACAACAATCTATCATGCAACTTTTTGGCTTCACGGGCATCATCTTTTAGGTTAATTAGACTTTCCTTCATTCTGATGATTTTGACCGCCATACTTTGAACTTGGTCCTGAGACTGTTTCAAGTTTTTATGGATTTCATCCATTAGTGTACCTCTCATGAAGAATTTATATTTTTGATCATCTGTACTTGCAGTCAAAAATGATCTAGCAGCATCCTGCGATAAAAATGCCATTGGATTGTTAACAGCAATATTGTGATAATCTAAGATTGCATCCAAATCAGCTTTCTTTTGAGAAACTTTTTTACCATTTTCAGATTTTAATGTGTATGGTGAAGTTGTAGCGTCGCGTCTCAATATTCTTTCAATAATGATCTCTGACCCATAAATACCTGGATCATAGGCGTCGCTACCTTCGTTTGATAGCACAACTTGTATATGAGCTGTGTTGGCTCCTTCTTTGATCAAATCTTTCAAATTAGACCCTCTATTTGTTTCAGATGCTTTGGCACCAAGACAGATTGAAATACCTGTTAAAATAGCACTTTTACCACTACCATTATGACCAATAATGAAGTTCAATCTTGGTCCAAAATCTAAAACGAAATTTTCGTGACACATGAAATTCTTCAAAGAAACTCTTTTGATAACACCAGATACTTTTGACTATGGAATTGTTAGAATAGATACATAATTGTCTTAATTTCATAAAATTAACTTACTGGATCAGCATCATCAAGCACTTGAGTGGCTTGTGAAAACTTTGCAATTCTTCTAGCTCTTTTACTCTTTGAGAAATCAATCTTTTGACTCAAGAATCCATCAATATCAATATCATTCTGTTGAAATCATTGAGTGTTAGTATCAATCACATTATAATATATCAGTTTATTATCAGAACATACTTCTTGCGCGCCATCATCAATCTCAAACTCATCACCGTCTCTCTCAGCAACATCTGTCTGACTATAAAGTCTCTTCGAATTTTCAACCGCCATTATGACAATTGAATGCTGACTTAATTCTTTATAAACACGATGAATAGCTTTAAATGTCTTTATTTCTTCACCAAAAAGCGTGAAAAGAACATGACGCGTAAAATAAAAATGAAAAAACAGTCGCGAATTCAATTTATGGTTGGGACAGGACTGCCAGATTAATTTATGAAAACTTCAACACCGAGATTTGTGATAAATCATTATAATTGAGCTCTAGAGTGGTGTTCCATTACCTATATTTTAGCTTGGACGTTACAAAAATGATTGTTCAGGCTCAAAAAAGGGGACTCTTGAAGTTATTGAAGAGTCCACTAACTCGAGGGCTATCTGCAACTGCCAAATCTCAATCTTCTACAGAGGAGATAGATTTGAAAGCTTTGGATGCCAAATGGACTGCAATTTGGGATGAGTTTCCACCCCTATACGCCTCAAGTGATATTTCAAAGAAGAAAGAAAAAAACAGAGGTGAAAAGAAGTATATCTTGTCACAATTTCCATATCCTTCTGGGATGCTACATATGGGGCATCTGAGAGTTTATACAATCAGTGATGTCTTATCAAGATACCACAAGCTACAAGGGAGAGATGTCATTCATCCAATGGGCTGGGATGCTTTTGGTTTACCTGCTGAAAATGCTGCTATTGAAAGAGGGATTGATCCTGCAGCGTGGACGTATGACAATATTGATAAAATGAAAGATCAGATGAAATTGATGCTAGCAGATTTTGACTGGAATAGAGAGGTTACTACATGTGACCCATACTATTATAAATGGACTCAAAAAATATTCTTATTACTTCTTGAGCATGGTATGGCTTACAAGAAAGAAGCAGAAATCAATTGGGATCCAATTGACAAGACTGTTTTAGCTAATGAACAAGTTGATGCCGAAGGTAAATCTTGGAGATCTGGTGCTGTGGTCGAGAAGAAAATGCTGAATCAATGGTTCTTAAAAATCACAGATTATGCCCCAGAATTAATAACTGATATGAAATATTTGGATAGATGGCCTTCAAAAGTTTTGAGTATGCAAAAGAATTGGATAGGGGAATCTAAAGGTACAGAGCTGCTTTTCAAATCAAACAATGATGAATTTACTATAAAAGCTTTCACAACCCGTTCTGATACCATTTACAGTATACAGTATGTTGCATTAGCTTTGAACCATGATATAACAAAGATTTATGCTAAAGAATATCCAGAATTAGAATCTTTCATCCAACAAGCCAAAAATTTCCCAGAAGACTCGAAAGCAGGATTTGAAATACCGAATCTTAAGGTACAAAATCCATTCAAAGAGGGTGATTTTGATATTCCAGTCTTTGTGGCTCCTTATGTAATTGGAACATATGGTCATGGTGCTGTTATGGGTTGTCCAGGGCATGATAGTCGTGATTTTGAATTCTGGAAGGAAAATAAACCAGAATTACCAGTGATCAAGACAGTGTCACCTGATCCAAAATCTAAGGAGGTCGATCAACCAGACATGGCTTTCACCAGTAAAAATGGTATAATGAATGAAAATGCTAATGAATTGAAAGGTCTTACAAGGGTTGAAGCTATTAATGCAGTTGATAAAGCACTAGTTGAAAGAGGTCTTGGAAAACCGGCAACAACTTATAAATTAAGAGATTGGTTAATAAGTAGGCAAAGATATTGGGGTACACCAATACCCATTATTCATTGTGACTCGTGTGGTATTGTTCCCGTTCCAGAGGAGCAGTTACCTGTTGTACTCCCTGAGAAGGTACATATTAGTGGTAGAGGTAAATCATTAGCTGATGTTGAAGAGTTTGTTCATACTAATTGTCCAAAATGTCATGGCCCAGCAAAACGTGAAACTGACACTATGGATACATTTATGGATAGTTCGTGGTATTTCCTTCGTTATGCTGATCCACGTAACCATTTTCAACCATTTGATCCTAAAGCCATCAGTAAATTACCAGTTGATATTTACATTGGTGGTGTCGAACATGCTATTTTACATTTGTTATACTCCCGTTTCCTTACAAAATTCTTATGTAAGGCCTATAATGTTGAAATTAAACAACATGATGATACTAAATCATGGAACACCAATGGTGAACCATTTTGGAGATTAGTCACACAAGGTATGGTTCATGGTAAAACATTTAATGATCCAAAAACAGGTAGATTTTTGAAACCTGAAGAAGTTGATGTTACTGATATTGCTAATCCAAAAATTATTGAAACTGGTGAAACCCCAGTTATTTCTTACCAAAAAATGTCCAAATCCAAGTATAATGGTGCCGATCCAGCTGCTTGCATTGAAAAACATGGTGCTGATGCTACAAGGGCCCACATCTTGTTTCAAGCTCCGATTGATGATGTTCTTGACTGGGATGAAACTAAAATAACGGGAGTGGAAAGATGGTTACGTCGTTTAATTTCTCTAAGTGATGCAGTTATGGATAAAGCACAATATGAATATGGAAATTACCCAGAAATTTTGCCAGATCTTAATGATGACGAAATCAAATTCTTCAATAAAGTTCAAATGTACACATCATCCATTACTGAATCTTTTGAAAACACATTATCATTGAACACAGTGATATCTGACTACATGAAATTTACCCGTGATGTTGCCGATGCTGTCGAAAATAAGAACATACACCCGGAACTTGTTGAGGATGCTTATGATCAATTATTGATTCTTGCATCACCAGTAGTTCCATGTTCTTCTGAAGAGGCGTGGGAGAGGATTAATATAAGAATTGGAGATATAGGATTATGCATTTTTGAGGAAGTATGGCCTGAAGTTAAAGGGCTAAAAGGAACCACACTTCAAAAATTCAACATATTTATTGATGGTAAGATTAGAGATGTCATTGAAGCCGATCATGAATTGGTGAATAATCATGACTTAGCTAAAACTAGAATTCTTGAGTCAGAAAAGATCCAAAAACATTTGAATGGAAAATCCATCAATAAATTGATCGTAAAACCAGGTACAATTGTTGTTATTTCAAACAAAAATAAAAAATAATCACATTCACATACATACATATATATGACTTCATGACTGTACATAATATCCAATCTAATATAACGTGTATATAACAATTAACCACTATTCTTGTATTCTAGCGCTTTCCCAAAAGACTCTTCAAATGTGAGAATAGCAAATCTGCAAGTCCTCTGTAACATTGTTCCCTATCCATTTTTCTCAGAATTTGTAGCTTTGTATCCTCATAATTTGTCTTCAACCATTTTGATTCAGGATCATTTTGAAGTTCAACGATAGATCCATTTGTCAATGGACCTGCATGGCGAAATGTACATTCAGGGTCTTCATCTTCAAGAATTCTCAACAGTTTAGCTGACTTAGAAGCAAAAGCTGGTGAGTGACTGATATTGAATAAAGATGGGAAAGTTGAGTTCCTATCAAATATTGGAACTTTAACACTTAATGAATTTATGAAATCAGAACCAAGTCCAAATGATGTTTCCCCTTCTTTTTTATTTGATACATGAAAAGCTCTATTTCTCCAAAGAGCATTACAAAGATCAACAACATATGAGTTATGAACAGCCGTTAGCTTGATCGTAAGGTCGTTGCTGATTGCTTCTTGTAAGAAAAATTTGGCAAAGTTTAAATACCCACAAATTTCTGAGATCACATATGGATGATTAACAAATACTAACATATAGGTCAAGTTTGGTGGAAGAACAACATTTTCAATGTTTTGATGTGATTTTGGTGTACTTTTATTGATATTGATAAACTTGATGACATGGAATACCAGCTTTAGGTTCATTTGAAATTTTATAAGCCAATCTGGTAGGTAATGTTTGATCTTTGTACAAACATGTAAAATATCTTGATAAGTATCAACAGCTTCGGCTTTATCTTTCAATTCAAACAGCCACCTTGAGAATAACAATGTAAGTGAGTTCAGTAACGCTATTGTGGACTCTAAATTATTTATGTGACCTGCACTTATTATACTTTGTAATGCTATGGATAGATTATAAGAGTGATCGAGCGGTATAAAACAGATAAGTTTCCATATGTATACCGTTAAGTGGCTTGAGCTTGTATCACCTTTCTTGTTCAGTATCTTTAACAAATTCTCTAATAATGATTCAGGTAAATGGTTGGTTCTTTCCACAAAAAATATCAAATCATGTAGCAAACTCTCCTGATCTAGTGCAGATAATTCTTCAAAATCTTCCAGTACGAATTCTAGCCCAGCATCCAATCTATTAAAATCTTTTTCATTGGAGAGTGAAGTGAATAATAACAAGGAGTTATCATGTTTATCATGAACAACGTTAGCTATATCAGATGGTAACTTTAGATTTTCAATACTTTTCACAAGCTCAGGTATTGAATGAAATTGATTATTTGTTTTGACTGTTGTAGATGTATCAACCCTTGATGATATCTTTTTCCTCTTCTTTAGTTTCTGCCCGAATATTTCCACTTGTTGAAGTTCATCATTTGTCACTTGTAATACCCTCTTATCATTTGGTTTCCTTAGATTTATTAGCTCCTGCAAATATGTGTAGTTTGGATGACTAAATATGGTGTGTGATATATTTGGGAGAATGTCAAAAATTTGATCTGGTGCAAATTCTTTGTATAAGATTAACAATGCTATAAGATGTTCGGATTCATCATATTTTGATCTTAATCCTCGAAGTCTATCGATTCTTTTGGTATTAACGTGGAACTTTTTTGTTGATAATAATAATAAGTGTGCAATGTGAGGTCTTAGATACTCAAATTCTAAATAGTTGAATAACAAACCATATAATTTATCAATTATCGAAGGATCTTCTAAGAATGAGTAAACTGATACCAGCCATTTTATTATTAATACTTGAATTGTGTTGGATAATCTTTTTTCCTTATTATTACCAGTCTTCACCCCAAAGCTTCCACATATATCAACCACAACATCTTTCGGTATTGGTGCTTTTGGGTATAAAAGATTCTTTATGATTTTCACTCTATAACCACTCCGAAGTGAGGAATATGGGTCTAATGTGAGTTTAAGTAGTGTGATAATATCATCTTGTGTTATCCCTATTGTTTTAATGGGTAGGTTTCCTAAGTCATCAATAATATTGTGAATCTCCTCAGGTGATAGATCCTCTATATTAACATGTCAGTAATCAGTGAGCAAAAAAAGTCTCATGAGCATTGCACGTACCATTATTAAGCTTTTCTATAAGCTTGGATATTTCAGCCATCACGCTATCGAGTGTAAATTACGACTCTATATAATGCTTAACCAAATTATGGCTTTCCAAGCTGAACTATAAAAGTGCTTGAAACTTTATGCGTGTTTACTTTTCAAGTTATCTGCGTTTCCAAGGTAACCCAAAAAATGCTGCGTTTACCAATAAAGCTAAGCGTATTAATCTATAGTACCCGTAACCCGTAACTTCCAATTACTACATCAAGGCTTTAAAATCATTTCATATTATTAAAGGGGGATTAGGAGTTTTTTTATTTTCTACTTCTATTATACAATGGTATTTTTTTTTCTTTCTTTGTTTTCATTTTCTATGTTTCATTTTCGAAAGTCAATCATAAGAGTCTATCATTAATTTTCTAAACCAGCACTTTTTTTAACATCAATCATACCAATTCTATCAAAAACAGATCTAGCTCTAATATAAGGATCTAATTGAGCGTAGTTGATACTTAATTGATGACCTAATTCGATTTTTTCATTCAAGAATTTCTTACTTTCTTCATCTGAATTAGATTCAATCCAATTAACTGTAGCTTCAATAAATTTTGTGATAATTTCTTTTCTTTGTGATTTCAATTGATCTCTTGTTGATTTATCATTTAATAATTCATCTTCACCTTCTACTGGTTCAACATATTCCATTTCAAATTCATCTTCACCACCTAAAGAATTTGGAATATATTTCATTGGAATAAATTGATGTAAATCTTTAGCAGTTTTGGTGAAACTAATCTTTGCAGCAACAACAGGATCTAACCAGTTTTTAACAATGTTCCAAATTGGTGGGAAAATCCATGGTGCTTTATGAATGAATAATTTACCTAAAGATTCTGGATAATGAGCTTCAAAAACACCAATCATGAATTTAACAGGGGCATAATCCATATTTGACATTGTAAAATCGGTTAAATCGAAAAGGACAGAACATGAATCAACTGGTTCTTTTAATAATAATCTAGCTTCTTCAATAACTAATAAAGTATATTTTTGAATATCTTCTTCAGTCTGTTCATTGGAATGATGTAATCTTGGTCTGATAATAACAATTGGTCTACCTTCATTATCATAACCTCTAAAGTAAGCTTTGGATAGTTTGAATTGTAAATGGAAACCATCTTCACCATTGTCAATACCTCTTTTCTCACCGCCAAATAATAAATCTTCAACATGACTTTCTTTTAATCTCCAATGTAAAGTATGAGCCAGCATAGCCAGAGCTTTATCGGAATCCCATTTTCTTGCTCTTAAGAATCTTAATATCAGATTATCAGGAGAATCAGTTCTTAACATATTCCAGAAATTTTCATAAATATCTTCCGGTTGTAAATCTTTAAAAGATTCATGAATACTTTTATGTGTATAATTTGCTTCAATAGATTCATTTGATCTTGTTGAAGTTAATTCGTTTTTTTCACTTGATTTAGATGCCTTGTGACCACGACGGAATTTTGAAAACATTTTCTTTTTACCTTTATCATCACCATTTGATTTAGTTGAAGCAACACTTGTTGTTGTTGCTGTTCTTTTTGGAGCTGAAGGTAGTGTGACGGGAGTACCCCAAAATCTAAGGAAATGAGCCCAAACTTCTTTCAATTTACGCTCTTCATCAGCGCTCAATGTGGTAACACGACCAGATGGGTTTGGGATTGACATTTTGATATAATGGTAGTTCTTGAAGAAACTTTTCCCTTGATCAAGATCAAATTGCGTTACTTGTTCTTCTCGAGAAGTTCGGGTATTAATTTAGTTTTTCAAAACTTTTTTTTTGTTTTTGTTTGGATTTTGTTTGACGCGATCGAGAATTTAAAGGAAAATGTTGATCTGCTAAACGACGTGCGATGGCCCATGGGCGATGGTGCATTTTGTAAGGTTAGTTACTTGTTGAGTTGTTGAGTAGTGTGCAGTATGTTAACTATGTGATTATCTGGGATCCAAGACTTCTATAGGTGGACATTTGGATGAAATTGGACGGGTATTGATGGTTTTAGAGTGCGATACATTACATTAAGTTCTCAATTTGATGATTTATACAAAATTGATCAGTTACGTCCTACATGAGGGATAATTTATACTCATTTATTTCCCATTCCACTATTCGCATATATTCATTTCCTAATTATCTTCTCAATTTATCTTTCCCACTTTCTTTTGTGCATACTTTAGCTTTGCACTTGTTCTATCAACTTCAGTATCCAATTCATCCAATAATTCATTTTGTAGTGCTAATTCTTCATTGATAGCGATTCCCAATTCTTTTTGTCTATTTATAACAGCACTCAATCTTTCTAACTCTTGATCCTGGTCCTGAATATCATTTTTTTGCATTTGTAATAATTGTTGATTCTCAATACCACGAGTTCTTTCAGTTTCTTGTGGTTGACCTAACACACGACCTTTGAATAATAGGTTCTTAGATTTCCCCAATGATGTCTTACTGGATTCTAATGCTTCAGGGTTTGATGTGACATTACTCAACAATTGTTCAAGATCACCATGTTCTCTTTTTATTGAATGTAATAATTCTCTTCTTCTTTGTATTTCACCTTCACCTATTGATCCTTTAGCCGCGACATCATCTAAACCTTTGGATAATCCATCAAATCTTAATCTCCCTACAATCAACTTTTTTCTTGCCTCTGTACCATCAATAAATATTTTAGATCTTGCATCTTGTAATATAAGTTTAGTTTCTCTAACAACATCGATCCAAGACGTTAGATCAGTTATAGGATCATTATTATTTGTTGAAGATAAAGACCAAGCAGAATTAATCTTTTCTTTTGTTCCATCATTAGCTGTGGAAAAGGCACCTGGTGGTAATTGTAAAAAATCTCTAAAGGGTAATGATCGTCTCCATTTGATATTTAATTTATCATTTATGGCATCTTGTAAAAATTTCTCCAATTGAATTCTTCTCTCTTCAGCAAGTCTGTCATTATTAATGGTTTTCCTTAAAAATGTCTTTTTGGGGAAGTTATAGGGTATTTGATCTGAATATAACGATTCTAATTCTTCTTTCAATGCAGCAAAATCTGAATATCTCTTTTCTAGTTTTTTACTCTTTCCAGAGCTCTTCACGAGCACATGATACACCGTATGACTCCCATCGTCACTAGTAGATGTGTTTGGAATGGTAACCTGAACGTCCATTGTCTTTTCTAACAAACTAAATCAAAAGTGAATCAAAAAGTGCCACATTCTTGAGATCAAAATAGTTGAAATAAGTTTAAATATCAAAAAAAGGGCCGCGATAAAGGCCGCGAATTTGCTTAATTTTTTTAACGTCAAAAGAACATCAACAAAAAGAACATCAACAAGAGAGCTTAGAACAGTTGGGACCAAAAGATCAATTCAGCTCAATTGACAATGGTGAGTAATACCTAAGGGTTGTTGCAGATCAAGTACTAACATTAGCCCTCAGCCTAAACAATACATTGCCACCAACAATGCCGGTGCTGCTCACAAATCAGACATCTATTCAGTTGCCATCTCAAAACCATACACTATAACAGCTTCAGGTGATGGATACTTGAAATTTTGGTCAAATCATATAACAGAAACAGACACTGCAAAAGAGAATGTTAAAGAAGTATTTGTACACAAGACAGGGTTGCATCATGTTGCTGTTTTCGAAGATTTTGTTGATACAACTAGAATTGGATTAGTTGCAACTGTTTCATTTAGTGGTGAAGTGTTTTTTTACATTATAAATCAAACCGATGGTTCTATATCACCAATTGATGTTCAATTGAATGGTAAAGGTAATAGAGATTCATACTGGGCTATTCAATTCTCGAAAGATGAAGAAAGTAAATCACATAAATTTGGTGCTACACAAGCAACAGGTGTAACTAAAATATGGTCATTTACAATAGATTCATTAACATCTGCAACTTTCACAATTCATGGTGAAATAAAACCACAAACCAAAAATTTTGCAACAAGTTTAGATATTTCATATAATAAATCATTATTAGCTACTGGTTTCAAAAATGGTGATGTGGTTTTAACTCAAACTGAAACTTCTAAACCTGTTTATACTTTCCATAATTTTGGTTTAAAAGGTTCATCACAAAGTTCTTCAACTATTCGTTCTGTTAAATTCTCTCCATTGGGTACATTATTAGCCGTCGCAAGTGATTCAGGTTCATATGGTACAATAACTTTATATGATACTATATATGGTGAAAATGTTGGTAATTTCACAATCCCATCACATTCAACTCAAGTTCATGTTGGTGCTTATGCACATGAAGGTTGGGTTTTTGAAATTGATTTTAACGAAACAGGTGAATTATTGGTAAGTTCAGGTTATGATGGTAAAATTCGTGTATGGAATGTTACAACTCGTGAAAGAGAAGCTACTATTGCATTAAGTATTACAGATTATGATGATGATGATATCCCAATTGATGAAAATGCAACTAGTGCCGCTGTGGGTGTTAAATTTATTGATAAAGGTATTAGAGGAGGTGCTGGTGGTGATAGTAATGATGGATTAGCTATAATATCTTTAGATAGAGGTATTCGTTGGTTTAGAGAAGCTGGTGGTATATAAATATAATTTTATCATCATTTTTGCTATATACATTTCTATTTAAATATTCGTAAGCATTATTTTATTTCTTTATTTAATATTAATTAATTAATCTATTCATATATTTCATCAGTTGGATGAATTCTATAATAATTCATTCCAGTAACATAGGTTTGTTGATCAAAATCTTCATCATCTTCATTATCTTTTGGTGCTTCCCCTTCAGGAAATCCAAAATTTGGTTCAGTGCCATAAGTACCAAATGAAGGTCCATGATCCACTGTACTATAATCTCTATCATAATTATTTAAATTGAAAGATCTATCATGAGGTGAAAGAGATTGGAATCTATTAACACCTAATTGAGAAGATGAATTTGAATGATTATTACCAATTTTAACATCACGACAAAAATTTATAATTTCCTCTTTTGATAATTCTTCAAATTGCGGTGATCTGATAATTAAATCCCAATTTTTTGAACAATAATTTGATGCATTATGTGCCAAAATTTCTTCATTAATATATCTAGCTCTTGACCAAACTTTCATTACAGTTTCCACATTAAAACCTTTTGAATAAATTCTATCAAGACATAATTTTCTTAATTTGGGGACTTCATAAATATTTGACAATATTAATAACCCTGAAATAATATCTTGATCTATTGTAGATAAATCATTTGTATAAAAATATTCAATTAACGATTTGATCCATTTTATGGGTTCTGGTATAAATAATGTATTTGTTTTAGTTTCTTGCATCCCACTTTGTAAAATTCTTTTAAAATGTGGCCATCTTGCGAAAAGTATTGTAGTATGAACTTTTATAGGTGATGATTTAATAAAAGTATCTTGATTTGTTGATGATTGGAATCCATTTTCTAATCTTGATTCACCAGGTTCTAAGAAGATTGAATCTAATGAAGGTCTTTGATTTCCTTCAATACCAAATATTTGAAAATCACTTAATGTAGTATCATTTAATAAATTTTTAAAATCTAAAGACATTGAATCTTCATCATCATCATTATATTTTCTTTTCCTCATTGATCTTTCCACTATACCCAAATCAGCTAAATCTAATCCAATAATTGTTTTCAAATTATAATCAAATGCTGTATCATCTGCTTGACCTGATATTGGATATCCTAATAAATAAAGTTTTGATTCATGAATAAATGTATGTTTCCATTTATGACCTAATAATGGATCAAATGCACCAGTTAATACAGCATGCCATCTTAGACTATTTAAATCATAAAGTCCAATACATGGTTCCATTAAAGTATTATCCATTGAAAATAAAGGTACAACAACATCTAATAATAATGAAGAATTTTTTGTTGAATTCATAAAGATATGATCACCTTGGAATCTAGGTAATTGGTTTATCTTGATTGAACCAGTTATATTTGTTTGTAAATCAAACCAAGAAATTTCAGTAACATGAGCCATTTCTTTTGTTAATCCACCTAAAGCCCAAATTTTACCATCATGATAAGTGATATAATGATCAAATCTACATATGAATTTTCTTGAACCTTCCCAAACACCTCTTGTTATATCAAATATCCTTAAGTCATCATAAGGATCATTCAAATCATCTTTGAATAGTCCACCAGATATAAACATCTTGGTACCGTCTTGTGAAAGACAAGCAGCATGTCTTGATCTTGGTTCTTCGGGGATAGCAGGACCTTGATCTTGAATAGATTCCCATTCATTAGATTGAACATGATATTTAACTAGTTGTGAATGATTGAAACGACTATTATTTGATTCTTCTGGCACACCTCCATAGATTAATATTGTATCATTTTTAGTCTGAGGATCTTTACCTATAAATAAAGATGAGTGACCTTCTCTATAAACTTGATCTTGTGGGTAAGTGCTCCACAGATTTGTATAAATATCTAATAAATAAACATTTCCATCCACTGATATTTCATAGTTAGTAAATTGTAATCAATATACTAGATGAATACTAATACGTACAATTATCATCTTCATCAAATCCACCGAAAAGAAAGAATTTCCCATCGTTTGTCACTGCACTTGAAGATTTGATTCTTGATAACGGTTGAGAACCTTCAGTAACCACTGGTTTGATACTCTTCAAATTTGTTCTCCTAACAGCCGGTGAAACAAACGAGGACATCCTTACCTCTTTATCAGTATAAACAACTAAATCTTATAAATCCAACGTAAAATGACACTAAAATGTAATCAAATCTGAAATCTTTCATTATGTGCCAAAAAGAAATCTTGATAACTATTATGAAACACAGTCCCGAGGTATACCTCGTATTACCCAAAACAGGTTTATTGCCACCGGATCTCCCCCAATGACAGCACCACAAATTCCTTTTTCCTACGCGAAAACACGCCAAATTCCCAGCTTAACTATGCGCGACCACCACGATCACAGCCCACCGGAACTGAAAATTTTGCTGGTGCGAGCCGCACCCGCTGTCCGTTTTGGGCGATTTGAAAATATCAATCAACGGAATAAAAAAAACTGGCGAAAAAAAAAGTCATCTTCAACACTTTTCAAAACCATTTCAAACCATTCATTGTCAACCAAAATCGTTCATTTAAAATCCTGTGTTTTCCATTTTATTTCATTTAGAATTAAATACGGCCTGAATATTTCATATTTCTCGCCTTTTGGAAACCTGATTTTGAACATCTATACAACTTCTTTGAAGAAGATCAACTTGAGAAGCTTTTCCCGCTTAAATTTCTCAACCCTCAAGCGCGCAAGTTTGATTAGCAAGCAATAAGAACAACAACAAAAAGGTTTATTTTTGTTGATTTTTGGTCTATTAGTATCCTATCATTCCTAGATTCAAGTGGTGTTATTTGCTGCTTGTCAAGGTTTATTCGGTATTGAGTTTTAGCTGCTAATTTAGTTTATTCTTTGTTTTTACCGCTGACGTGTTTGTTATTACGTGTGGAATTGAATATATTATATCAAATTATAGTATATTATTCTCAGTTTTAATTCTTCAGAAATTGATATAAAGTCAAAAAAAACTCAAATAACAAAAAAAAATTGATACTTTCTTCATAAAAAGTTTTTATTTAATTATAAGAACATATTATTACAAGAAATCAATATAGACGAGCTTTTTATTAAGTCATCGTCAAATCAAAAAAAATACAAGAGAAGAAAAACTACAAAAATCAAAACTATTATAATAGAAGTTATTTCATTTCAATCTGTTGAGGGAATATAGTATTATTATTATATCTCCAGAGAATTAACTTTAAATCTATTATATTATCAAAAAAGAAATATCAAATTTTGTTGTATTAAGTTATTTTACAAATTTTCCTAATTTCACAAAACTTTTATTATCAAAATGGCTACAGCTTATGCTTATCAACCTTTTGATGCTACTCATCAACAACATGGGTATATGAATGGTTATCAACAACCAACATATTATCAAAACCAATATGTTGCTCAAAATGTCCCCCAACAACCTGTTTATCAACAAGCTCCAATGATGAATGTTAATCAACCAATTTATGGTGCTCCTGCTCCACCTCCAATGGTTTCAGCTCCTGCTCCAAATCCTTATGTTCCAAATAATAACTATGGTTATAATAATGGTGCTTATTATCAACAACAACCTCAACCAGTTGTTCAACAACAACAACAACAACCTCAACAACAACAAGAAGCTGTTACCGGTGGTGTTTCATCAGTTTTAGATTATGATTTAAATATCATGTCTAAATTCACTACTTATTTGGCTTTTAGATTATTTGGTAGAAGTGATACTAAAAATGAAAAATTTGCCTCATCAATTAAATCTGTTTTAAGTGCAACTAGATTACCATTATCTTCATTAATTTTAGCAAATTATTATCTTGTTCAAAAATATGAAGTTGATAGTTATTCATTTCAACAAAATTCAGATGAAAAAATTTATCAAATTGTTATTTTAGCTTTAGTTATGTCAAATAAGGCAAATGATGATAATACTTTTACAAATAAATCTTGGTCAGATGCTACTGGTTTGAATGTTAAATTAATTAACTTTTTAGAAGTTCAATGGTTAGATTTAATTGATTGGAAATTACATGATACTGATATGGAAAGATATGATGAATTAATGATTCAATATAAAAAATATGCTGATAATTATAATTCACCAATTCAATATCATTCAAGATCAATTAGTAGCGAACCAATTTCTCCAATTTTATCAAGTTCAGGTTCACAATTTTCTCCAAGAGATTATTCATCACCTTCAAGATTTGATAATTTTTCAAATTCAAATAATTGGTATACAACTTCATCATCAAATTCAAGTTCAAATTATTATAATCATTATCAACCACGTGCTTATTCACACAATAGATCATATTCTTATCAAGAACCTGAATATTGTACAAGAACTGGTTCTTATCAAAGAATGATGTATTGTTCATGTCATTATTGTTCAACTCCAACAAGACCTGTTGATTGGTCATATAATTTAGCTGCAGCTTGTTAAGGTTCCCAACTATCTGTTTTTTCTATTTCCCTACTTTTTTTTTGTTTATTATTACAATTTGTGCTTTTTTATTTTTTACTTTATTATTATAAACTTATAAATTTTTGATATAAATTATACATTTTGCTCTTTTTTAAAAAAAAAATTATTCAAATTATACTCAAAGAAAAATTATTCAAAAATCCAAAAAAAAAATCAACTTTCAATAAAATTATAAAACCCTAAGATTTAATTTTTAATCAAATTAAACTTGGATGAAAAAAAAAATACTATCAAAAAAGTTTATTTGCTTTCAACTGGTTTTCTTATTCAAATTTTTTGTCAAAAAAATCAAAAAAAAAAAAAGAGAAGAATACGCTATGTTTTAAATTTTTGCTTATTTCGAAGAAGATCTAACTAATGAACAAGATTAATTAATCATTTTTTCTAATCAATATCAAGTTCATATTTCTTATTATCATTAGCTATTTTTTATTATACTATACTATATTATATTTTATAAACTTTTTTTTGTTTTATTACTTATAAAAAAAATAATCATAATTTCTTTATTGAATTTTATGATTATGAATATTTTGTCGTTTAAAATGGTGTCAATATTTTTTTTTTAATTTTTTTCTTAACTTTTTTTTAACAAGTCGTATATAAGGATTTTATTAATATATTATATATACTGTGTTTGAACTATTGTAGATCTGGAATAAAGATTTCATTCTATATCACAATCAAGTGACACCATCGCAAGTAAACATGTATATATTGACCAGTATCAGTATGTACTATATAACTATAACGTCGATGACATGCTAGCTGAAGCGACAGAAAATATATACTACAATGTACTCTTCGACGTCGACCTGCAGTATGATCACTATAAAATA